AATTTTAGGATATGACTTGAACTTTTGTGGATATGATTTGAACCTTTAGGATATGAATTGAACTTTTAGGATATGAATTGAAATTTTTGGATTATGTATTGGAATTTTAGATTATAAATTGAAATTTTAGGATATGACTTGAACTTTTGTGGATATGAGTTGAACCTTTAGGATATGAATTGAAATTCTTGTGTATGCATTGAACTTTTAGGATATGAATTGAGCCTTTAGGATATGAATTGAACTTTTGTGGATATGAATTGAAATTTAGGATTGCGGGAGGATTTTGTAGAAGGGGTTGATGACTTTACTAGACATGCAATGGAACTTCCACCAAGAATAACTTAGACACAATACCTGACAGAGTGTGCCTTTAATTGTTGTTCTCATTAGCGACAATGATGATGAGAAGGCAATGGCATGTGTTTCAAACAGTGATGGTGTAGGTAGGAATTTAACATTTCTTAAGTAGATAAAAGAAGAGGTTATAGAGGAATTCTCTACTTCATTTTCCAAGAGGAAAAGAAGTTTAATTGAGAGTGACAAGGTTGATGGTAATGGAAAGAATTGGACTATGAATTGGACTTCTTTTCCTCTTGACAAATGAAGTAGAGAATTCCTCTATAACCTCTTCTTTTATTTGCTTAGGAAATGTTAAATTCCTACCTACACCATCACTGTTTGAAACACATGCCATTGCCAATTCATAGTCCTATTCTTTCCATTACCATCAACCTTGTCACTCTCAATTAAACTTTTTTTCCTCTTGAAAAATGAAGTAGAGAATTCCTCTATAACCTCTTCTTTTATTTTCTTAGGAAATGTTAAATTCCTACCTACACCATCACTGTTTGAAATACATGCCATTGCCTTCTCATCATCATTGTCGCTAATGAGAACAACAATTGATCAAAGACACACCTTGTCGGGTACTGTATTCAAGTTATTCTCTGTATCGAAGTTCATCCCGAGCAATAGTACCACGAGGATAATCACCAAAGCCACCAGACAGCTTTATGATGCCAATGAAGTAAGATGCGCTATTCAATGAGACTCATATTGTAAAGAAGAAGAAAGAGACTGATCCAGAAAGGTGGGTCGAGGGTCGAGCCTCGACTATACATGTAAGTTTTTTACTTTTCATTAAGTATTTTGATTTACTTTTATATAAATTTTGAAATTCCAATTCAATATAATTTTTCTTATAGGTTCGCTTCACAACTGATGTGAGGGAATTCATACGCAGTCAACCACCTAATGAGTCGGGCGAGGCAATCCAACTTTCGGATGAGGATGCTGAAAGAACACTCCTTGAGTACTTTATATACTTTGAACTAGACAATAGGACCAGTTTTCTAATGGGCTTGTAATTAGCGTTAACTTAGTTTTGTTAGCTTAATGTGCTAGTTCTATTGAACTTTATACTTTTTTGCTTTTGTTGTTGTTGTTGGCATAAAATGCTTGTTTAGGATTTTTGGTAAGCTGGCAGGTGGTGTAGCTGCCAAAACAGGCAGTTTCTGCCAAAAATATACCAAGAAAAGCGACCAAATTTGGTCGCTAGTTGGTCGCTTTTCGCTTAAAAAAAATAATTTTCTGGGCAATAGCGACCAACCTTGGTCGCTATTTAACCCAGATTTTTCAAAAGCGACCAACTTTGGTCGCTATTCCATTTTAAGAAAAAATAATTTTTGGAAATATAGCGACCAAAGTTGGTCGCTTATAATTAAAAAAAAATTATTTCTTGAAGTTAGCGACCAACTATGGTCGCTTATTTTTTAAGAAAAATTAATAAAAAAGCAACCAATCTTGGTCTCTATTTTTTAGATTTTAAAATATAATATTCGGATTAGAGACCAAAGTTGGTCGCTTTTTTATGATTAATAATAAATAAAAAAAACGTATTTTACATTTAGAGACCAACTTTGGTCGCCAAAATTATATTATTAAAATAATAAAGCGATCAAAGTTGGTCGCTATAGTCTTTACACGGAATATTTGGTCCCTAAAATAAAGGGACCAACAATATTGCGACCAGGCATGTTTGGTCGCTTTTAAGCCTATAAGCGACCAACTTCGGTCGCTTTTTGTGATCGCTTTTTACCGGATTTCTAGTAGTGGTGGGGTATGATAGCCACATGGTTTCTAGTCTAAATATATTATTACTTCGACTGGGTCTTTTAATTAGTTCAAGAATGGGGCAATGGTCAAAGTGAGTTCTTGTTAGATGTTTTACGCAAGCTTCTTGAAATATATTGATCCAATCTCCGTTGGCTACGAATCTATCTAAGTCTTTCCATGACGAAGGTGTTTTTTTTTTTTTAAAAAAAAAAAAAAGGAAAGCATCATATTCGCTTGAATTGTGTTGACAACTCAATTAAAGAATTAGATTCCAATAAAATATGGAATTTACCCCTTTATGTCTCTCCAATTCCAAAGTATATTTGCCAAAAGCTCTCATTCAAGGTTTCGGAAACAACAACTTAGAAATATACATTCATTATCCCAGAACAATAGTCAAATTAAGCACCGACATGACCTTATCTTGGATGTCATATGTTTATTCTTTTTCCTAAAAGAACAGGACACCCAACTGTGAAACATGAAAAAATGGAATCGAAATGTTCATACTACGAAGTAAGAAGTTGCAATGATATAACAGCTTATGATTCAATAGGTTTAATTAGGATTTAGGACCTAAAAGGAAAGGATGTCCTAGTACAAGAACCCAAGGACCAGAGAAAATATTTGGTACGTTAAGCACGCAAAATTGCGTAAGCATGAAACTCCCCCTTAAATTACATTGCGGGTACGTCCTTAACAGCTTGTTTGGATGTTGTTACACATCGTTTTATAATGTATCGTATTGTATTATATTGTACTATATTGTATCATTTGATGAATACACTGTTTGGATAGATTGTATCATTTGTCGTTGCTTCATTATATCATGTACCAACAATATGAAGAATAAATTTACAATATTATAAAGAAAAATTATGATACGAGGTAAATTTATTGTATAAAAAGGTAGGGTAAATGATAAAATAAAATAATTTAATAATAGTGAAGGGTGAGATGAGAGAAAAAGACAAGATAACGATACAATCACACCAAATCGATCGTTACATAAAGTGACACATTTAGTGGTTACGTAACGATGAATTTAACGATACGATACAATATAATAGGGAACGACCATCCAAACAAGCTGTAATACTCTCTCAAACTAAAACAGGAAGCAATTAAGGCAATGGAAATTAAATTGAGTTTGACTTACATAAACTAGGTGCTAAAAGTGTAAAAAGATATCTTCAATCAATTCGCTTAAGAAGTTATAATTACAGTATTTTTCCATATTGAGCATGGATGTGTTCCCTCGAAAATATGACAAGTAATACTAAATTACAATAGCACTATTCTTGTATTTTCTTATTTTCAAATTTCTTTTACGACCGGTTATTTCTTTTGCTTCAGTTGTCTTATTATCTTATTATTGTTACTGTTTCATTTTTTCCATGGCTTCGTCACTTCTGTATTTCTTTTTCAAAACTGCTATGATTATGCTTTCTTTTAGCCAAGGGTCTATCAGAAACAATTTTGCTCTATCTTCACAAGGTATTGGATAAGATATGCGTACGCACTATCTTTTCTAGACCCTACTTGTAACCTCACTTGTAAGATTACACTTGTTATGTCGTTGTTGTTGGTTTACATAAGCTTTTAAGGAGAGCAATGTTTTGGTTCCATTTGTGGGGTTGGGCATCTATGCCCAAAAATTAAGGTGGATGGAGATTATTGATTAAGAAAGAAGGAAAAGAAAAGAATAATATATACAATCCCAGGGAAGATCTTCTTATATATACACCCTCTTACACAGTCAGCTAGCTCCTACAGGAAAAGGAAAGATAACTGAGACCATTTAAGGTATATTTTAGCTCCAATTAATAAGAAAAATGAAGTTTAGTTTCCCTCTTTGTGTTGTTATTTTGTTATGCGTTGTAGCTCTAACAAGTGCTGCTTCTTCTGAAATTTCTCATGCATCTACAAGCAAAAGCAAAGCTGTCGAAAAGCAAGAAAATGGCGCGGACAGTACTCTTGTTAGAGTCAGTTCGCACAAAGATGGAAATAAGTATGAGTTAGTAGAAAACAAGGAATTTATAGTGGATGATATGAAGGTGCCAAAAGGAATAATTCATCGTCGAGCTCGTCCTAATCATAGTTCAGCCCTATCCCTGAAACAGCACTTCATCTTCACATCAACAACTGGTCTTATTTATTTCTTGTCTCTTCTCCTGGTTTAGCCCCTTGCCCTCATTCCCTGAAACATTCCACAATAATATTCTATTTATATCTTTCATCTCTATGTCAACTACTGCACTTGTGATGTGGTGACTGATTTTATATATATATAGCAGCTGGTTTTGTTTGATTGTAGTAAACTTCTGTATATGTGAGTGAAATGATGTCTTGATATGTGTAATATACTTTCTATGATTGGCTATGAAGAGTCTTTATGTGACATAGTTTCTCTAATTGGTTATGAATACTGTCTTTTCCATGAAATTAAATAAAGATTGTAAAAAATAAGAATTTCATTACCAGGTTGTTTGGATGGTTGTTATGTATTGTTTCGTAATGTATCATGTATTGTATCGTACTGTATCGTTCTAATGTATACAATGTTTGGATATGTTGTATTGTTTATCGTCGTATCATGATGTCATGTACAAATAATATGAAGAATAAACTTACAATATTATAAAGAAAAATTAAGATAGGAGATAGAATTATTATATAAATAGGTAGGATAAAGGATAAAATAGAATCATTTAATAATAAGGAATGGCAATGTATACGGTAGAAATCGGGGCTACCCGATTTCATTCTTTGGTCGAGATAGGAACATCACGTCAAAGAGCTGAGACGTCCAGTCCGGATCGAGGTAGACATCGATTGCGACCAGAAAAAGACAGACTTCGAGTGACTTCAGCTTAGCTTGATAACAGAAAAAGCGAGATATCCGCGATTGGTCGAGGATCGTGGCGTGAATCTCGGAATGGATCAATCTATAGCGGTTAATTAGATGTTAATATGGTTTCTTACTATAATTAGAAGTGTACCTTATTTAGGACTCCTCTATTATATAAAGAAGGATCCCATTCTTTTGTAACATTCACTGTTCACTGATAAGAATATATACATTCTTTCCTGCTATTTCACTTATTGTTCATCATAGTTGCTTTATCATTCTTACGATCCCACCTCGAGACTACCCCAAGTCGAGGTCGAGACCCGGCTAGTATACTGGTTTGATTTATTTTATTCTTTAATTTATTCATTTATTTTCTTGCTTATCAATTAGTATTGAACGAGATCACGTATCCTTAAAACCACAATATAAGTTTAATTGTTATCCGAATTTGAGGGTAAACAGTTTGGCGCCCACTGTGGGGCTAAGGATAATAGTGATTGTTCAGTGTTGATTCTGATAACACACGTTATTTTACGCTTGCTCTTGTCAAGTATCTTTGCTCTCAGGTTAAAACATGTAGAACTCACAAAACGCACCCACACAGGGTGAAGATGGTCTCGGGTTTCACGGGAAAAACGACAATGTAATCGCTCCAGGAGCCGAGGTGCCACAGGCTAATCTCGGGGGAGCACCGGTTGCCAATCCAGTTGGTGTTAGTTCGCACGTTGCTTTAAATGCGAACCTAGGCGCAAACCCCGAAGGGAGTGTACGCAGAGAAGGTCGATCTGGTGGCCAAGGCACACAACGCAGAGGAGACGGAGGAGTTAGTCTCCAGGTGATATTCGAGATGTTATAGGCTCAACAGGCCGCTATTGCTCAGTTACAAAATCAACATAGAATTCCGAGTGGGGTCGAGCCAGAAATCACTCGCCGTACCGAGCCAGTGCTAGAAAGGTCGAATGATAATGAATCGGGGACTGATCCTGCAATAATAAAAATGCTCGAAGAGCTCACCAAAAGAATTGAGTCAGGAGAGAAGAAAATCGAAGCTAATGATAAAAAAGTGGAAACATAAAAATCCCGAGTTGATCAGATACCAGGGGCACCACCAATCTTGAAAGGGATGGATTCGAAGAAATTTGTACAAAAGTCATTCCCTTCGAGTGCGGCTCCGAAACCTATTCCAAAGAAGCTTTCGTATGCCGGACACACCTAAATACAATGGTATCACCGATCCCCATGAGCATGTCACCTCCTACACATACACCATTAAGGGTAACGATTTGGAAGATGATGAGATCGAATCTATTTTATTGAAGAAGTTCGGGGAAATCCTATCGAAGGGAGCAATGATCTGGTACCACAATATACCACCCAATTCTATCGACTCATTTGCCATGTTAGCAGACTCTTTCATAAAGGCACATGCCGGAGTCATAAAGGTTGCGACAAGGAAATTGGACCTTTTCAAAGTAAGATATAGGGATAATGAAATGTTGAGGGAGTTTGTATACTAATTTCAAATGGACCACATGGAGTTGCCATCGGTCATAGATGATTGGGTCGTTCAAGCTTTCACTCAGGGATTGAATGAACAAAGTTCGAAAGCATCATGTCAGCTGAAGCAAAATCTGATCGAATATCCGGTTGTAACTTGGGCAGATGTACATAATCTGTACCAATCGAAAATTAGGGTAGAGGATAACCAATTATGAGCTCCTTCCAATTCAGTTCACCCGAACAGGTCAGCCGCCAAAAATCAGAGGGACATCGATAGAGAGCCAAGATCGAACAAAGATCGATATCAACCGTACAACTCAGATCGCAGGAACAGTGGTACAGGACGCAATCACGCCTGGAACAATCGAAGAAGCGATCGTGGACAGAATACTCGGGGACTCATAAGCAAAAATGGTTTTGACAAGTACGCTGACCCCATAGAGGCACCTTAATTATCGGAGTATAATTTTAGTATCGATGCATCAGGTATGTATCAGCAATTGGAAGAATCAAAGACACCAGATGGCCTAGGCTTATACAGATCGATCTTTCCCAAAGGAACCCCAATCTGATGTGTAAATATCATGGTACACATGGTCATAGGACTGAGGATTACAGGAAATTGAGAGAGGAGGTAGCCCGTTTATTCAATGAGGGCCACCTTCGAGAATTCCTAAGTGATCGAGCCAAGAATAATTTCAGGGAAAGGGACGCCAACAAGAAAATTGAACAGGAAGATCCACAACATGTAATTCATATGATCGTCAAAGGGGTCGATATTCCACAAGGGCACGTGTTCAAACGCACTAAGGTATTAATTATTAGGGAGAAACTGACCCCAGATTATGTGCCAGAATGTACCGTATCATTCAACGATGAGGAGGCAGAAGGAATTTCTCAGCCTCACAACGATGCTCTGGTAACCTCTATCTTGTTAAATAAAGTTCAAGTTAAGCGTGCTTTAGTAGATCCAGGTAGCTCAGCAAACATTATCCGATCGACGGTCGTGGAGCAACTCGGCCTACAAGATCAGATTGTTCCCGCAACTCGGGTCTTGAACGGTTTCAATATAGCCAGTGAAACAACTAAAGGAGAGATTGTCCTACCGGTAAACGTGGCTGGAATTATCCAAGATACCAAGTTTCACGTAATCGAAGGCAACATGAGGAACAGCTGCCTACTCGGGAGGCCTTGGATCCACAACATGAGGGTAGTCCCTTCGACTCTCTACCAAATGATGAAATTCCCAACGTCAGACGGGGTAAAAACAATGTGCGGGAGCAGCATACTGCAAAGGAAATGTTCGTGGTCGATAAGGTAATACCGATTTCGGCACTATCAACATCGGAAGGATCGAGCATTAAAGGTCAATAGAAAGCCAAATAGTAATCATTGCCACCAGCCTAGACCGGACCGGAGAACCAGGAAATAGAAGAAGAAGAAGAGGAAGATTTTTTGACCCCTCAAACTTTTGTTGTTCTCGAAGATTTCGACGCAACCAAATCAATGGTCGAAGAGCTGGAATAGGTTATATTGAGGTATACCTGGGAACGGGGTTAACCCCCGAACACAAGAAAAATCTTATTCATTTTCTTATTGATAATATAGATTGTTTTTCTTGGTCCCACTTAGACACGACAGAGATCCCGCCGGAAATAACAACACATTGGCTAAGCGTGGACCTAAAGTTCAGACCAGTGAAATAGAAGAGAAGGCCCTAGTCCGAGGTAAAGCATACATTCATAAAGGACGAGGCAACTAAACTTCTCAAAATAGGGTCCATTCGGGAAGTAAAGTACCCCGAGTGGTTAGCTAATATAGTTGTAGTTCCCAAAAAAGGGAATAAACTTAGGATGTGTGTAAATTATAAAGACTTAAACAAGGCATGTCTCAAAGATTCTTTTCCACTTCCTAACAGCGATCACATGATCGACGCCACGGCCGGCCACGAGATCCTTAGTTTTCTCGATACTTATTCCGGGTACAATCAAATTCAAATGAACACGGAAGACCAAGAAAAGACTTCATTCATCACCAAGTATGGAACATATTGTTATAATGTAATGCCCTTCGAGATAAAAACATAGGAGCTACCTACCAACGCCTAGTAAATAAAATGTTCGAAGAACAGATAGGTAAATCAATGGAAGTATATATTGATGACATGCTAGTTAAGTCCCTGCGCGCAGAGGACCATTTGACACATTTGCAGGAAATATTCAACATACTGAGAAAATACAACATGAAGCTTAACCCCGAGAAATTTGTTTTTGGGGTCGGTTTGGGAAAGTTCCTTGGCTTTATGGTGTCAAATCGGGGAATCGAGATCAACCCCGATAAAATCAAGGCTATCGAAGACATCACCGTCGTGGATAGTGTTAAAGCCGTGCAAAGGCTAATGAGGCGGATAGCTGTCTTAGGCCGATTCATATAGAGATCATCGAATTAGAGTCATAGATTCTTCTCTCTACTCAAAAAGAAGAACAATTTCTCCTGGACCCCGGAATGCAAACAGGCGTTAGAAGAATTGAAGCGATACCTCTCGAGCCCACCATTGCTTCATACTCCAAAGGTAGATGAAAACCTCTACTTATACTTAGCAGACTCAAAGATCGCGGTAAGTGGTGTCCTGGTTCGAGAAGAGCAAGGTACGCAATTTCCTATTTATTATGTAAGTCGAACTCTAGGAGAAGTAGAAACTAGATATCCACACTTAGAGAAATTGGCACTTACTTTGATAAGCACCTCTAGGAAGTTAAAACCTTATTTCTGATTTCACCACATACGTGTACTAACCACTTACCCACTTCGTAATGTTTTGCATAAACCCGAGCTATCGAGCCGATTGGTCAAATGGGTCGTCGAACTCAGTGGGTATGATATCGAATATCAATCCCGAATGGCCATCAAATCTCAAATTTTAGCAGACTTCGTGGCTGATTTCAAGCCAACCCTCGTACCCGAAGT